CTCAGTGCTATAAGGAAAGGTTGGAATGCTAATTTGAAACGGAGATTTCCTATCTATTTTTCAAAGCGGGATGAGTTATCTACTACTCCTGATGGTATTCTGTGTTTAAACGATCGTGTTGTCATTCCTCCTTCATTGCGTAAATCTGTTCTTGAAGATCTTCATAGTGGTCATTTAGGTGTTGAGAAAATGAAGTCCTTGGCAAGGCTCACATGCTGGTGGCCAGAAATAAATGCAGATATATGTCGTACGGCAAACAGTTGTGAGAAATGTCATCAGTTGAAAAACCATCCTTCGAAGTGGGTGCCATGGCCAGTATCGTCTGAGGCCTGGCAGAGGATTCATGCTGACTATTGTGGACCATTTCTTGGTAAATACTACGCACTAGTAGTCATTGATTCTTTTTCAAAGTGGCCTGAAGTTTTTTTCACAATTTCACCGAATTCTGATTTCACAATACAAGCATTAAGAAAGGTGTTTAGTCGAGAAGGTGTTCCCTTGGTGTTGGTGACTGATAATGGCTCACATTTTGCTGCAAATGCAGTCACTACCTGGTTGAACGGTATAGGGTGCAAACATCTATTTACTGCTCCCAGACATCCGTGTTCTAATGGTCAGGCAGAGAATTTTGTTAGGACATTAAAGACTGCTATTGATTCTATAGCCCCCTCAACATTTAATGAGCTGGAGAGGGGAGTAGATACCTTTCTATTGCAATATAGAAATGCCAAACATTCGGTGACGAAGGAGACTCCAGCGAAGCTATTGAAAGGAAGAATTCTTCGGTCGAATATGAGATGTCTGGAGTCTGCAGAGGTTACATACTATCGAGGAAATGATCTTCGACCATCTACGGGTATTGTTCTGAAGAATGTCGGAAAATCGATGGTGCGAATTCTAGACATCGATGACTTAAGTACACACAGTCGAGATGTAGACCAAATACAATTTCAGGAACCAGGTGACTCAGTTCCAATTTCGATTGTTAATTCTAATGCTAATGAGCATATTCTAGATAATACAGAATCCTTATCCAATACAATGTCAGACAGACTCAGGATGAATTTGAGAAGAAGACGTACGATTGATTATAAACACCTAGACTCCAATTTAAGCTGTGGCGGATGTGGTGTTTGAATGAACCAATGATACCTTTGTACTGGTTGAATACTTGATTTCGAATTCTAAATACAGTACATTCGTTTGTGCCTGTGTCTTCTTAATTCAATTGCGTTAATCCTGGGATTCCTAATTCATACTATAATTAGGATATTATAATTTGTCATGATATAACTGCCTAATCTATAAGATCTTACGTGGAAGTCACACCATCGACTACACCAACTCACCGTATAGTAACAACTACCAATACATGATGAAGAACAAGCTTAGGCTAGAGAAAGAACAATATATTTAATATGAATAAAAGGTAATATTCAGCAGAGACCACGCCTGCATGGCCGAGCCATGCCACTCGACCAACTCCAATTCATTATTCGCGCCTTCTCCATCGTTAGGTATTTATCCGCGTTAAATATTGAATATCTATTTTCTGAGCAGTCTCGTGTTCACAGCTTTGTGGATTGTGTGACTATTGTCTAATGCCACTACAAAGTCATATTGATATCGTAAAGGAAATAGTTATTCAAATGGCAAATTGATTTACTGTTAACGTAGTTTGTGGCATTGGCCGCCGACTTGGAATTTCTAGCACATTCTGTTGAAAGCTCTTTCCTCCATTTGTTGCCAAGCTACATTCATTTTTTGATGTCTCATTCTGATTTTAAGCGCAATGTGCTTTCGGTTTTCCCCTTCTCTTTTAACGTTGAGGATCTCAAGTTTGGACTTGGCTTGTGATACAGAATAATGCTTTTCTTAATGTACGTTTCACTCACATCGACTGTATTCTAATTTCATCCGAATAGATGTCTTGTGTTGGTAGTGATAAACTACAGACAATTGGTCTGACGTTTCCGTTATGGATATCTGTTTAGAAATACGGGAAGTTTATCAATAATTGTTACTTTAGTTCTTCAAGTTTTGTCATATTACAGTAGAACAGTTTGACTTCGGTGACAAGTTTCCAATTTTCGATAACAATTATTTAGAGCTCCAGATGTTTTTAGTTGTGAAAACCACCATCTTGCGTTGTCATTTTGTGCCTTCACATCTAGTTCACCTAGTTAATTATGCTGCCTAGCTACAAAAAGACTTTCGTTTGATTCAGAGATTTACCATCAGGTGTGACTTGGTTGATTCTCGATTTGTGTGCCATCTTGCTGCTGCACCCGTTGTCGCCTTTATTTACTTCTGAGTGCGGTTATAAGGGCAATTCTTTCTAGAGGCTAAGATCGCTTAACGTTATCTGCTGTACTCTGCGCATCTTCTGAAATGTGGAGATCGTTACAATGCATTCAGCGACTTTAAGAAAGAAAAAAATGATTAAATGGTCTTGTTCGATATATCTTCAAATGGATTTTCGAGCTGCCTTCCTTGAACGTCTCGAGGCCCTAGAAAGTTCTTCAAGACAGTAAAAACCTTTTTAGTCAATCTATAGTTTCTAAAGGAATCCATAAGTTCCTCCTACCCACCCTGGCAAATGCTTCCTCATATTGAAAGAATCAAGTCTATTGGTTTCAAAGTTTAATATCCCATGGATTTTTCACTCTGTCCCATAATATTACGTCGAGAATTTGTTTGGCTCTGAAAGTAGTATGATAACGCTGTAGTTCTCACACCGAAACCTTTCTAAAAGCAAATGTAGAACATCTTCTCTTCTTTGGTTTTCATCTAATTCCAGTGCTCAAGCTTGTCCATCATTTACTCCTACTGCTTTATCATTCTTTTTGTTTGATGGCCTAGTTAAATTTTTTTATGGTTGAGGCAGTAACGACTTAGGGATGACTGCAAGTGCTGCTTTGACGTCCAATGTGATTTTGATTTAGTTGTCTCAAAGCTGTGAATCGCAGATCCTGTTCGAAATATGCGCATTACTTTGGTGATTACAATCAACTATCCACATACTTAGACAGTGTATTGAAAACGCTGTGGGGAGGGGACCGCAACTGCTATCTGGACTATGTAGCCTAAGGTATATGGCATATAGGCAGTGTCAAAATTCCCACATTCAGGTCTCTTCAGTATGCTATTCTTTCGCTCATCTCACTTCGTAATAAACAGTGAGATTAAACAGAAGTGAAGTCTCCTTCAAGTCGAACTGAAGGCTAATACTAAGTCTAATGTTTAAGCTACTAATTCAGCTAATCTAAAGTAAAACATGAAAGTAGTCATGTTACGCGGCCTGTAGGCAGTTGGACGCAAAACAGAATTTATGCTTCTTAGGTTCACCACCAGAGCAGGAAGACTGTAACTAGGACATTCACAATGAATATCAATGGGGTAGTATGTTGAGTGCTAATGTTTATCCCCTATGTAGCAAATTTAGAACGTCCGAGGCAGTGAACACTTCTCTAGGGATATGGTTTCACCATAAGTCTATCCTTCAAGATTCTTGCAAAACCGCGTTTTCGGTTATTGTCTGTGATAATGGTGAAAAGTATAGATGCATCAGTGGGGCACAGAAATAAGACTGGTGGTCTATCACGACTATTACCAACTTTTATAAGATCCTGAATTCTTTGACACGAACCAACGCGTCTAAATTTCCAACAGACTCAATCCTCCTACAAAACGTAAAGCTGGAGTCGGTACTGGAAACACCCATGCTAAGGAGAATCGATAGTGGTACCTATTTTAAGGAATCCTCACTAACCTTACTGATTTGCATAAGATATTTACCGTTGAAGCACTTCCTCACTGCCAACGACTATCATACCGAGGATCGGTAGGAGCAAACAGGATGTTAAGCTGTATGTATTCCCATGGTTAGGATAATCGCTTTCTAGTTAAGCTTTTCTAACGAGGCATAATTGTGCTCGTTGACTGCTTACGTAACATTTATGAGGTTTAGTAATCTCGAAATTAAAAGGATCCCGAAGGACTTAATTGTAAGCATTTTTAGAATATGAAGTGTAGTCGGGTTATCTAGGTGACTTGAACTAGGTTTTGTTTAACTTTCCGATCATTTAAACGCGAATCTCACTAGTTAAATCCTCGAAATCACTGCTTTTTGATGCGAACGTTAACTAAAAGCTAGGTTCTGGTTGTAGATCTACAAGTAACAGTACCCTCGAAACTGAATCCTCATGAAACTGTCTTTCAGATTTTGTCATTCAAATAACAATGAACTCGTCGTAACTACGTTTTGCAAAAGTGGGAATCGACGCCTTGTCAAATGAGATCCTCATAACAGGATTACATACGATAAATTTGGAAACGACAACAAACTATTGTGATTATATAGGATTCCTCAAAAATCAAGTTGATTAGATATTGATACGTATCATATGGAGCAGGACAACTGAATGAGCATGTAAGTTTATTTAGGCACTACAGCTTTTTTAATTTCTGTAGGGCTAAAGTGAAGATGGATCAATCTTTCAAATACGTATAAAATATTTTGTTGTAATAAAGTCTCAATAATTGAGAACTAGGAAGGCAAAATCAAGGCTAGTTTTTTGTGACATCTATTGAGATTAATAGGGTAGACAAAACGTTCAAATAACTGTAAACCTAAAGTTGATGCATAAAACTTCAAGACAGAATCAACCAATTTATTCTGATTCACAAACTAATGACAAACAAAATAAAAACAAGTAACATAGAAACATGCAAAACGAAAACGAAGAGGCAGGAGGTAGAAGGAAATAATTCTTAATTTAAAATGTGAAGATTCTTTAATTAATTACGGAATAAATGACAAAAGCACAATTATAGTATTGTTACATGATTCAGAGAAAATTTAAATGTATGACAAGACTAAAAGAGGAGGAGTAATTTCTATAAGAATATGCACACATTACAAATCACTGAAGACAAATACATCATTTGAGTGAATATCATCAGACTGAATAGATCACTGTGAACAGGATGCAGAAATCCTACTTTTTTGGTGAACCACGAAGCTTTTCAATTTTAGTTTCAACACTGAAAATTAAAGTAGAACAATTTATAATTAATTAGACGTATGATAAATCTATTTTAAACCATGTTTGAATTTGTTATCCAAGTACAATATTAAAGATCAGATGAATAAGTAATTATCATTAGTTTGATCTTGCATACGAAGTTTTGAGCTTAGAAGAGATAATCCGATTGCTAAACCATAAGGCTTTTATAGTGTCTCAATGGTATGAAAATACAATGAATGAGTGTTATTATGACTGTTCAAAGATAGTTATTATAATTATTATCAAAAAGTTTACAAAATTCCAGACATTCACAGATATTTTTGTAGTAGAAGCTTTTATTTTTAATATTTTTTTTACCTTTTAGGTAATAACTCAGTCAGTTAGTTAAAAGGTCCAAACCTCACAAATATATATTCAACTGGAATCTATCGTTATATTCAGTAAGTTTTCGACTATACGATTAGAACTAATCAAGTTTTGGTAAATAAAGAAGGAACGAATTTTCACCATAATCAAGTTTTAAAAAGTCAACCATGTATGCTCCAAACAATATTGTTAAAGCAGTAGTTATGCGGTTTGTTTTTGAAGATCATTGATGTTATCCCTTCTCCTGAGTCTCAAATACAAAATCAAGTGATACAACAATATTACACGGAAAAAGAAAATCAAAATGATGTGATATGACAAGAGAATTGATTAAAATCATACTGTGGACCAGGTTTTCTTTTGTCATTCCAACTATGCATATAAAGTTCAAGAGAACTTTGGTAATTAAGTTTATGCACTTACATTTTAAGTATATCTGTCACTTTCGTTTTGGCCATTTTGAATGCTTCATCGCATTGAGGCTGAACAAGAAAAATACAAAACGCAATACATATGATATATCAAGTATTTTCAAATTATTATGCAAAGAAGTTAGTACGGATAAACACAAAACAGGACCTGACTTAGTATCTAATTGGTATTATATTTTTTAAGTTTTTCATTTTACCTTATCTGTCAAGTGGACAGCTATGTCTCATCCTCCTATTATTCTCTGACCTCTAGGTTAAATGATATTGTTGAAAAAGAATTTTTTTTGCCAAATTATCTTTATTTAGGTATGATAAATTTGTATGTATAAACAGCTAATAAGTATGAAGTACGAAAATATTCGTAAAAGGTAAATAATTTGTGAGTGAAGTAAGTTTGAAGAATAAACGACAGTTGTTTCCAATTTTAAGTTATGTAGTGTTTATTGGTACCGGATTTTACAATATTTTTAGATGTGAATAATAAAAAAGTAGTCAGTCAGGAATAAATGAAGTAGATCAACTGATGAGATACAATACTATAATGACCAAGACTTATATATTTGTGCTAATGAGGTGTGGCAACTTGGATTGATGTATATATGTGTCTGACTAAACAAAGTAGATGTATGTGGAACGTATTTTGTTTCGAATTAAAGTTTGTTGGTATTTGTACTCTCTGTAAAATTCTGTAAGCCAATGTAATCTGTTGTTTGAAAACAGTTTTCAAATGAGTTTTTGTAGTCACTAGACCAGTGTAAACTACTAATGTCTACTTTAGAAAACACCTTTACTGAATGAAGTTTAAACTGGTTAGCTACAGAAAAAAAACAATGAGTTAGACTGTAAAACAAAGTAGTTTGAGCATATATATATATATAGGCAGAAATTTAGAGTTATAATACTAGTTTATCATACACCTTAAATATTCATATCAATAATTTTGATAGTATGATTATAAAGTTACATTTTTGAGTCATCAAGCGTCTTTAAAAGTTCAGATAAAATGAACAAACCAATAGACAAACAAATTCACGTACTTTATTAAACGAAAAAGAATGTGATTGTATATATGAAAAAAATTTTATGTACAAAATAGCAAACGATCAATGAAATCAGAGAAATAAAAAAATGTTAGTCTTAGTCTTATACAGTTACCAACAATTATAAAATTATGATCAAACACTGGTCGATTGAATAAAAACTTTGTATAGCAAATATTTAACGAGATATTTTATTTTAGAAAAACTTTTTACCTTGAGCAAAGGAAATTTCAAAAACAAATATTGACTTAACGCGTGTTTTACGCTCAGTCAGTCAGTTACAACATAGGACCAGGCACATACATGCATCGGTTCAAGTTGCCATACCTCATTAGCACAGCAAAACGAACACCGGATTCATAGAAGTAGTTAACTCAATGGTGTAGTATTTAAAGGAAAGATTATATGTAAGGATATAGTACAGAAAAAAATAGTTCGTAGAAGGAAAGATCGATTCTGGGCCATGTTACCCAGCGTCCCCAACCATTGGTTACGATAGTCATGAGGACCCCAACCAAGTAGTCTGCATCTACCAACATGGCTCAGACTAGAAGTTAGTGACTTCAAGCACTGATGGCACGTTTCGATTTAACCGACCCTAACTTTCTTTCAACCATTCCCAACGCCAGTCAGCATTGCGCGTTGTGGTAATCGGTGTTCAGGCATACGCAACACGTGGCCCAACCATCTCAGTCGGTGAAGAAAGAGGTTGATTATGAATACAGTGATCTTGAGTGCTGTTAGAGGTATCAGGGCAGTTATCACTTCCCAGTTGCCAACACCGTGGAAGGGTTCTTCTGGAGGTACCTGAAAAGGAAATCGGATAACAGGTGGTTTTACTGATCTGAAAGCGTGACCGCGTTGCCCAAGGGACAACTGCTTGAGGTCGGTCATACACGACCATTTTGAGTGATTTTTGTGTTAGCTCCGTACTTGTTGAGACCTTACCGCCGGAGACGGATATCCGTGAGATGAGGCAACGTGTGTATTTTTAGGGTCGACCTTTTCTAAACCCGCTCCTCCTTATGGGAAGGCAGCATCGCTGTCATGCTGGTTGTCTGAAGGAAACACCTTGCTGTTGTCACACCTCTGTACAGTAGGCAGTACGACCTCGGACCTTTGGTTTGTTGCTTTTAGTCGTACTGCTCCTCAACCGACCTGTCTGGCATGGTAGGACCTTGAGGGACAGTTGCTCCAGCCAGTATAGCTCGGATGTTTCATCACGATAGGCAAGCCCGACCACCACGTCAAGGTAGGAACAATTGTGTTTTACGCTAAAAATTGCTATTTCCGTATGCGAGCTTTGTAAGCGATTCGAAGGGATTGAAGACTACTTGGCAGAACTATATATTGATATCATGAATGCTAGACCACCACTGAAAACCTGGAAGAACTGGACGGCCGTTTCGTCACAAAATGGGAATTCTCAGAAGAGCGCATCAACGATCCCACGCGTGGAACTGGAACCCAGGATTTTCAGTTTAGTGGTCTGAAGGTTAAGAGTCCGCGCGCGAGATCGAAGGTCCTGGGTTCGAGTCCCACATATGGGATTGTGGATGCGCTCTGCTGAGGAGTCCCATACTAGGACGAAACGGCCGTCCAATGCTTCCAGGTTTTCAATGGTGATCTATCATTCATCCATTCATGATATCAATTTAAACTCAACAATCTCCACAACCCCATACTGAGAGTTATATATATATATATATATATATATACTTCAAAATTGTATTATTTGCAAATTAGAAAGGTTATTCAATAAGGGTAAGGATGATTTGGTGTAGTATTCAGTCACAATAAGTATAATAGTATTATAGCAGAGATGAAAATGCAAAAAAATGTGTCGATTGAGATAATAATAATAATAAGATTGTTGTGTGAATATAATATGTAATAATATATCCAGCTTCTGTTGTTTACCTTGGCTGGATCACCAAATACCTAGACTGAATATTATAAACCTCTTACCCCCTTCCTTTATTTTTATTTACTTAATTTTTTCCTTATTATCATTATTTTTGATTATCTCTATCTTAATCTTCATATATATATATATATATATATATATATATATATATATATATATATATATATATATCGTAACAGATGCAAACGCTCACCAATTTTTTAACACATAACATTGTCAAACTCATTAAAACATGCCTTATTTTTGGCCTTTGTAAAATATTATAATTATGGACTTATAACTGTAGAGCCTGATGATGAAGTTATTGAAAACAATTGTTTGCTCAAATATTCTTCGTTTTTGAATATTCTATGGGGATTTTTAAACTACTGAAATCTAGTGAGCACCCAGTTGCACTGAAGGGACTCAATGAGTTCCTGAAGTATAGTGCGAAACTCACGGAAGCGAAAACTAATTTGGATTTTATTCGTAATTGCACCGTTACACACCGATATCCGAAAGACTATTGCAAATCCTTACGTCGATGTAAAATTAAACCTAACAATAAGTCGCTCAAGAGATATGCACTTAGCCAAATCGAATCTCTTCAAACGTATATTGTTGAATTAGAAAGGAATATTACACAGAGATTATATTCTGTTGAAGACCTTCCCCCAAACTTGAAGGATTCGTTTATGACTTATGTCCTTGAAGTGCAAAGAACGAGGGAGAACAAAAAAAGAATCGACCTAATTAAAGGACTAGACAAACAGATCTTTAAACCGGATTTTCCAGACGACTGTAAGCGGTATGTTTTCAACATTTCCTCTGTTAATCTTGATAGGACTGAACTAGAAGTGTTATCATTAGGTCCTAAGTTTTGTGATAGTCGTAGACATGTGGATCATTTGAAGACTGATGTTCAGTTCGAGAATCTATTTACGCAGACACAAGACTTAAAACCCACGACAAAGGTCGATCTCAGTTGACAAAATTATTTTCAATTTTGCAATAGTACTATTATATTATCTTATTGTGACTGAACAATTTACTGACCTTTATTGAATGACCTTTCTAATTTGCAAATATTACAATTTTTTGAAGTATATATATATATATATATATATATATATCGTAACAGATGCAAACGCTCACCAATTTTTTAACACATAACATTGTCAAACTCATTAAAACATGCCTTATTTTTGGCCTTTGTAAAATATTATAATTATGGACTTATAACTGTAGAGCCTGATGATGAAGTTATTGAAAACAATTGTTTGCTCAAATATTCTTCGTTTTTGAATATTTTATGGGGATTTTTAAACTGCTGAATACAAAAAAACTTAAATCAAGATATGATGTGAATAAGCCACTAGAACTGACGCCCACGTTCACAAATCTACAGTTTCACATAGGGTTTAGACTGGTAAGCAATGAACTCGTGAATTAGAAAAAGACGTTTTCTCAACCACAGCGTTACTTTGATTAAAATTATAAGATGGGGATAGTTGTGACTAGGAATTGGTGGAAGGAATACTTAATTTTAACATTACTTGTAACTTTAATTTCACATAAACAACTAATTAAACACATTAACAGTGCGATGGGTAATCTTTGTTTTCATCTTGAATATTTTCAATGACTAGATTTAAAAACTATAAGGTTATTCTAAAGAACAGATCCCAGAGAACATTAAGATAACAAAGGTTATAACTGTACGCAGTAAGACATTTATTGTGGTGACACTAACACTTTAAAAGACAGTGCTTTAAAATACTAGTAGAACTAATCAATGATTATTTATTCTGTTTGTAATCATTAAGACAAGATCGTAGTCATTTAGTGAAATATTTTATCTAACTTTGTCTATGCACTCTAGACGAGAATATAACTCGATAGGCTAGTAGTCAAGCCTCCTTTCCAGTTATCAAATCATATTCTAAGTATACTACTATTAATTTCGCAAATTTCGTAATTTATTGTTATTAGATTGTACATACTCGAGGAGAAAATTCCAAACCATATAAAGTTTTGACTGGTTGTGATTTGCAAAAACACGTTAGTGTATTTGATCACCGATTAGTCGATTACAAATGAAAATCTTATTACATTTTGATAAATTTACTGGTTTATGCAAAGAAATTTGTACACGGTTACCAGTTTTGTTCCTCGACAAAAGAGGTGGATTGTAGTCCCTAAAGTCAGGAATTCGTTTACACATCTGTTATCGTTAAAGCACAATAAATGCATTCGAAAAGGTTTGGAAATATGGATAACATGATTATATTCCTAAACATTTAACGTACTCATACATGTAAAGTGTAAAAACGCAGCTAGCAATAAAGGTATTAAATGAGTCAAAAGTTTATAAACACTTTTAAGTATTTTATATTTCGTTCAAAAAATGGAAGATATATTTGAAGCATAAAGAATACAATCAGATCCATTTATTACTTAGTAATAATTAACCAAATGGTCATACTTAGAAAGAAATTGACATACAAAACAAAAGGACTGTTTAGGAACAGTGCATATATATATATAGGCTTTAATTTAAAATAACGCGCAAAATTGTAACACAATAAATCATAAAAATTGTGATAGCTGTCACCATTTTTACACACGTCATTTGCTTTGGGGACAGTACTATAGAAGCTTCGGATACTGACTTAAGACAATGAATCCCAGAAGATAATAAAAACTAATATTACAAATAATATTTTGATTACTATACTGTAGGTGGAAATACAAATATCACTAACCTGGTATAATAAGTAAATTCTGGGGCACGTCAATCCCAAAACGAATACTAAAAGGTGTAAGAAAAATCACTGCCTAATGTACGTGAAAACGGACAGTAAATTATCAGACATCCAATATTTATAGGGGTTAAAAAATGTTCACGTTTTAAAGAAAAATAAAGGGAAAAAAGCATATATATCATCGTGGAGGGTTATGAACCGCAAAACGAAGTGCTTGGGTTGGTGACATAGATATAGTTGGTTTTCTTTTTAATAAAAATATTAGAGATCGAACTAGTTAATTATAGCAGTTTTTCTCTCTTTAAGGTCTTCTATTACTGTTAGTAATATTAGTCGCCATACTTTGCTTTTATTTCAGTAATTTCCTGTTGCTGTACAAATAGTTCTGGCTGGTCCCATGTTGTTTACTTTTGTCATGAAAGTGGGTAGGTACGCAAAATATAAACAATCTCAAGTATTAAAAATAGTCTTTTATTCTAATTAGTTAAACTTCGTGAATTGAAAACTTGATACACTATAGCAAATTCAGAAAAGTACAATACACCTCTTAATTTAAAAAAAATTTTAGCTCATTTTTTAACGAGATTCACAATAGTGTGACCAAACTTTTGATAGTCAAGAATACGACTCGAGGATGGGAGTAATGGAAACAACCCTGTTTGGTTGATAGTGAGGAATGATACAGTATGAAGACTTGATAACTACTCAAAAGGCTAGATCTGTTAACTTATTTCAGTAAAGGTCTGTCTTCAATTAAAATAAATGGAAGACTGGTTATATACGTTTAGACGTTTTTTCCGTCGATTAGACAGGACAAAACACTATGCTGTGTACAACAGTATATTACAGAATAGAAAATTAACGTTGCTCATTTACTTGATACAAGTTTTAATACTTGATTTCTAGAGACATTGCCAGTGTGAAGGCTAATGATACTATTCAGTTATCGAAACCGAAATTGGTAAAAAAGGGTCTAAAATGTGCAACTTCACAATTGAAAGCCATGTGTTAACCACCAAATCGCCACCATTCACAAAGCAAAATAAACACAAATACAAATTAGATGCAATGAAACAATGTCCGACGTTTATTAAATATCCAATAAATTTAAAACAACGGATATAGGCCAGGTTTCGATCATCTATGAAATAAAAATAATCAAACCCTAACCACTCAGAAGTACTATGTGCACTATGCCTTTCAAGATTTAGAATGCTAACTTTGTTTTAGAACATGTCACAACCCTGTCTGATGTCACAGACCTTTTGGTCTCGAATACATTCCATAACGATCAATGAACCTTTCACGATTCGCGTGATATACGTTATGGCAGTTATACTAGGAAGTTAGTTGTCTGTCATGAAAAGAGAGTAGTCCGCTAGGCCATGATATTTCATTGTCATGACGCAGTAAGAGCCCCATATGCAGCCGCCTAACAATTATTTAATTCTAATAGTTCCATGTTTTTGCTCAGTAATTATAACCATCAAATAGACTAATTTATATAAAAATAATATGCCATTACAACGCAAAACTCACGTATAATAATCAATGTAAGTAAATTAAACCATCCACCTATAATTGATAGTATGTATAAGCCAATCGCAAGCTAGAAAATATCAAATACGTAATAAAGCGATATAAAAACTGTTGGAATTGAAAAAGTTATGCTAATATGGTAGAAATCTGGTATAAAATACTTGAACAAAAACATTGAGAAAAAATTGCCACCAAGATCTTTCAGCACTTACATTGATTATTTCACACACTTTAGAGCATATTACTAATCATAATCTTCTTATCACTAAAACAGAAGATACGATAATAATCTCGTTGTTTAAAGACGGGCTTCGCAAGGAATATCTACCTTCTCTATTCAATCAATAACTAAGGAAGTCATGTAGCAATAAAGACTCAGATATAAAACTTCTCGTAGGCGTGAAGTGTTATTTGACGAAAACAACTAAACAGTGCTATTTTTATATTTAAATTATTAAAGTACTAAACGTTATGAAGGTCACATTTATAGATGATGGTATTTGAGTAAAATCCGACGTAAAAAATACACTAGCTGCTCCATTAACGGTAACAGAAACGAACCGGACAACAACTGCTGTGTCATGGTTTAGGGAATCGATACAGTATTCCTTCAATCCAAATGAATCAAACTTCATACAGTGAGATGGGTAAAACGTGTCTTTATAAATAACATTGTACAGTTACTGAAATTCCTATCGACAAGAATAATATAGTAGTTGGAATATGTAGGTTTCAAAATATCATTAATGAGACCGTATGACCAACTATGCTCCCAGTCTATGCTCAATCTATGAATGTTCCTTAGAAAATTAACAAGAACTAACGGTGCAAATAAAACCAAAAGTTTTAATATTGAAATGAATAATAATAATAATAATAATAATAATAGTGGAAAAGATTTGAGGATATAACACAATTCGAACCACTAGAAAAAAGGTTAACCTCTGTGATGCGTTGGCATCCTGAAGATAAAGAGTAAAACGCAAATTTACCTTGACAGTTTCAAAATAATCTTGCATCAATAACATACGACGTAACTGATTTAATTTTTCAGATAACTGTTCAGATGCAGCTCCAACACGTTGGGCAATTTTATCTTCAGATAACAGAATATCATATTCAAGCCATGAACTTAAAAGAGATATGTCAAAGAAGGGAATTGTTAGAGTAGAGTTGTGTTATTTATAAAAGTTGCAAATAATGAATGAAACAATCAAAGTAAACATAAACCATGAATGATCGAAACAGAACTATATTAATATTTTAACCAATGCAATGAGAGCTTGAGGATTAAAGCGCCCCAGATAAATCCTCTAAAATATATGAATGCTGTATAATCATGAACGTATATAATCAGAGTACTTAACGTAAGTTTTGGTTCGGGAAATAGAAATTTTCTTGGCAAATGCAATGGAAGTTTCTATGGTTGTATCAATGAGTAGTCGTCTTTTACCTTTGAAAGGAAACATATAAACCCTGTTTGATGTTAACCAACTTGAAATCCTAGACACTTTCGAATAATTCAGTTTTCTAACTGCGGCTACTGGAATGTCTAACACTTGAGCTCTAAATAGTAGAGGGAAGGTGCGAAGTAAAAATAGAAGCTAGACCTCAAGGCTAATCTACGCACAAAAAATAAGTTTGTTTGTAGATTTACGAGTGGCCCAGATCTTCTAAAAATTTGTGGATATATACTAAGTTTAGTAATATAATAGGTGACCATCTAGCCAAGTTGTGACACATAATCCTTGGCACTTTTTACGTGTTTTCGGAAGGTTGCTACTCAATGCTAATCAATAGGGATGTTTTCTTCGGCATTTTGGGGACTTTATGGATAAATTCGTATGACTCCAACAATAACATTGTACATAAATAATAGAATACAATCATTGAGCTTTATTTACATTTCCCTTTTTACGAAAGTTTCCAGTGTGACTAGGTGATATATATATAACAGTAAAAATGCATTGAAATATTAGACTTAGTCTATAGCTAAAAAGACCTTCAACATACTGAAATGAATGGTTTGAATTGTCTGACGCTTCCCGTTTATTTGAACCAAGAACGGCATTATACAGTTTGCAAGCTGCTGTACAGCAAAATAAGGCAAGCCCAGCGTAAGCAACGACGGAAATGAATGACATGCAGGATAAACTTAACAAAAATGTCAACCAAACAGCGGAAACAATACCCGACTTGATTGGCTCACTCCAATAAATAATATCTTTAACTAAATTCAAAGAAAATTTCAAAAAAAGTTACTAAGTGGTGAATACAGTAATACTATATAAACAGCACCGAAAATAATGAGTCATCAGTCAGTCAGCTACAACGTAGGACCAGGCACATTTATGCATCGGTCCAAGTTGCCATACCTCATTAACACAACAAGATGGACACCGGATTCATAAAAGTAGTTAATTCTGAGGTGGTAATATATAAAAGAAAGATTGCAATAAGGATAGGGAGTGAAGTAGTTGAACGCGTTGACAACTTCACTTATCTTGGAAGTCTGATCAGCCCTAATGGGTTGGTGTCTGACGAAATCTCAGCACGGATTCGAAAAGCTCGATTGGCTTTTGCCAACTTGCACCACCTATGGCGAAGGCGAGATATCCGTCTATCAATAAAAGGACGAGTATACTGCGCGGCAGTCCGTTCTGTTTTAATTTACGGCAGCGAAACATGACCATTAAGAGTAGAAGACACTCGTAAGCTATTAGTATCTGACCACAGATGCCTTAGAAATATTGCTGGCGTCTGCTGGGATCACCAGGTAAGTAATAGTGAGGTTAGACGCAGGGTATTAGGGAATGATGGTAAATCAGTTGATGAGGTTGTGAATCTTCATCGACTGAGATGGTTGGGCCACGTGTTACGTATGCCTGAACACCGATTACCACGACGTGCAATGCTATCCGGTATTGGAAATGGTTGGAAGAAAGTTAGGGGCGGCCAAACCAAAACGTGGCATCAGTGCTTGAAGTCACTAACTTCTAGTCTGAGCCATGTTGGTAGATGCAGACTACTTGGTTGGGGTCCGCGTGACTATCGTAACCAATGGTTGGAGACTCTTGGTGACATGGCTCAGAATCGATCACAATGGCGTCGGTGTATACACTCTCTATCTTCCCTTAAACTAAGAGATTAAAATCGCTTCATATCTTTCTTTCTACGAACTAATTCTTCCTTCCTATACTATATCCTTATTGCAACCTTTGACCTAACCACTCCTATGAATCCGGTGTTCATCTTGTTGTGCTAATGAGGTATGGCAACCTGGACCGATGCACATATGTGCCTGGTCCTACGTTGTAGCTGACTGACTGACTGACAGGAAGAAAGAATTAGTTCGTAGAAAGAAAGATATGAAGCAATTTTAATCTCGTAGTTTAAGGGAAGACAGGGAGTGTATACACCGACGCCATTGAGATCGATTCTGAGCCATGTCACCAAGAGTCTCCAACAATTGGTTACGATAGTCACGCGGACCCCAACCAAGTAGTCTGTATTTACCAACATGGCTCAGACTAGAAGTTAGTGACTTTGTGGACTGATTCCACGTTTTGGTTTGGCCGCCCCTAACTTTCTTCCAACCATCCCCTACACCGGTTAGCATTGCACGTCGTGGTAATCGGTGTTCGGGCATACGTAATACGTGGCCCAACCATCTCAGTCGATGAAGATTCATAACCTCATCAACTGATTTACCATCATTCCCTAATACCCTGCGTCTAACCTCACTATTACTTACCCGGTGATCTCAGCAGATGCCAGCAATATTTCTAAGGCATCTGTGGTCAAATACTTGTAGCTTACGGGTGTCTTCTACTCTTAAAGGCCATGTTTCGCTGCCGTAAAGTAAGACAGAACGGACTGCCGCGCAGTATACTCGTCCTTTTATTGATAGACGGATATCTCGCCTCCGCCATAGGCGACGTAAGTTGGTAAAAGCCAAGCGAGCTTTTCGAATCTGTGCTGAGATTTCGTCAGACACCAACCCATTAGGGCTGATCAGACTTCCAAGATAAGTGAAGTTGTCAACGCGTTCAACTACTTCACTCCCTATCCTTAGTTCAGGTGTTGACGCAGACCAGTCCTGCAGCAACAACTTGCATTTAGAGGGAGAGAAGCGCATCCCAAACATTCTGGTATTGTTGCTTAGTGCTACCAAAAGACTCTGCATTTAATCAGCGTCTTCACCAAACAGGACTATGTCATCTGCGTATTCTAAGTCGCTAAGTGGACCTCCTGGAAGGAGATCAATACCCGAGAATTCAGTAGACGAGAATGTTATTTCCATCAGTAGGTCTTTGATGAAGTTAAACAAAAATGGAGAAAGTGAACAGCCTTGTTCCGCCCATCGTTCTCAACGTCTGGACTGAGAGCAGATGAGGGTGTCATCTTTTTCCGAAATAATCTGACTTACACTTGACTTATTAATTCCAGTTTCTTTTATTAGTCTGTAGAGCTGTCTTGTGTTCCCTATAGCCGCCGCCTTTTCCATCTCTTTTGCTTTAGTTGCCCACCACTGCTCACGGTCGTTTCCTAGACTTTTGCTTAACCTAGATCTGATTTATTTTCGCTCTTCATCGTGTTCAGAATCTGATGGGATGAGTTTACGAGAATCCATCAGTGCAATAGACGTAGAGGAAATCCATTGCTTCTTTGTAACCCTGTGGTTTAAATCACTGATAGATGTCACTGCTGTTTCCACAGCTGTTTGTATAGCTTTCCAAGCAACGTCTGGGTCAATCTCGTTTCCAAAACTACCTAAGTGTGAACTCAGTTGTTCCTGGAACCTACTTTTGGTTTCCTCGCTACTCAGTTCGGTTCTAATGGGTCTTTTTACTGTGGCTTTTTTGCGTCCAGTGAGGCGCAAGCAGATGCGTGCCCGTATTAGGGCATGGTCGGAGTCCAAGCAGGTACACCGGAATGAGCGACAATCTTCTACCGACCCTCTCCAACGATGACTGATGGCAATATTGTCTATTTGAGTCCACCGTTGGTTTGGTGTAGGGGGTCGCCATGTTACACGATGTCTCTCCTTATGCTTAAAATTTGTGTTTGCTAAAAATAAACGATTGTCTGAGCACAGTTGCAGCAGACGATCACCATTATCTGTTCGTTGTGGCGGAATACTAAAATACCCACCTAATTGCCTTTATGTTTGGTTTAAACTACCTATTTGGGCATTAAAGTCGCCTGCTACAAGTATTATGTCTGAACGTTTAGCTTTCTGAAGAAGTTCAGATAGCTTTCTGTAAAATTCATCTTTCACTTCATCTGAGCTGCAGTCGGTGGGAGCGTAGGCAGAAACGACAAAAAGGCAACGACTTGTGTCCGAGTTCTTACGGAGCTGTTTAGCCGAACAGCACATAAACGACTGTTAACGGGGATCCACTCTAACAGTGCTTGTTCCGCCCTCATGCTTAGTGCTATCCCTACTCCTGCCAGTCCACGAGAGCTGGCCATCGCGTCACTAGATACACAGAGGGTGTACCTCATTGGCTCTCCGTGTTGCCGAGGTGAGGTCGAGTGAATGACCACACTGGGATCCAGTATGTGTATTTCAGAGACACAGCATACATCAATGGTACGAGATTCTAGGGTTCTAACCAAGGAAGCCTGTTGACCGATTTGACATAGGGTGCGTACGTTGAAGGCTCCAATGTGTAGTTTGAAGCGAGGTTTCAGTAGACCTGGGCCAGTGTTTCGAGCACTAGAATTGTTGGCTATGATGACACTTGAGGGGAAGCCGAAAAAGGAAGTTTAGAGGTGAAAGTCGATGTAGGAGGAGTAATAGGAAGTGAGGACGGAGGTTTTTAGTCTTACCGCTCTTCAACCGACCTGTCTAACATGGTAGGACCTTGAGGAACAGTTGTTCCAGCCAGTATAGCTCGGTTGCTTCATCACGATAGGCAAGCCCGACCACCACGTCAAGGTAGCAACAACGGCCATCAAGGAGGTATGGATCACAGGGGAACAAAGTCATTTCATAACTAACCAAAATAATTGTATGCTAGGTTCTGAATTATTGGCACACGAGGATGAGTCAGTCAGTCAGCTGTATATATGCATCGTTCCAACTTGTCACACCTCGTTAGTACAAGATAAACAACTTCAAAGTAGTTACTTCAATGGTAGTAATATATAAAAGAAAGATTAGGTATAAGGTTATAATACGAATGCCCTGGCACGGCCAAGGGTGAGGAGAGTCAGCTCTCCCTCTCGAAATGCTCTTACATGGCCACGCGTATACAGCCATTGCCAAAGAAGTCCTGCTCATGGTTGGGGTGTTGCTTACGAAATTGAGAGGACGAAAAGCGAACGTCTTGCGCTCTAACCGGGTTGGTGGACACGGAGGATCCACCTAGGGGAGTTGTAAAACCCTGATCTCAAACCAATGGTGCACGTGGGCTCCAAGATCCTGAAGGAACAAGTGGCGCATGAACGAATTACTGGTCACCGGCAACCATGGGAGTGCGTCTCCCGACGTTGCTCCACTGCTTGGTGGATCAAACCTTTAGGTCGAAGGCTCCAGGGTGTAACTACTTGGGAAAACCACCTGCTTCGGTTTGGGCACTCGAGTAGTATCCCAGCCCACACACAAATCAAGTGACCTATGTGGTGCATATGTATTCAGTGCCCCTTTGTACCAATATTTGTGTTAAGATTAATTAATTAACAGGAGGAAAGAATTAGTTCGTAGAAAGAAAGGTATAAAGTAATTTTAATCTCACGGTCTAAGAGAAAACAAAGAGTGTATACACTTACGCCATTGTGATCGATTCTGAGCCATGTCACCTAGAGTCTCCAACCATTGGTTATGATAGTCATGCGGACCCCAACAAAGGATGAAATACCAAGTCAATGGTGCAAAACTTAAATTTATAATCTGCTGGCTGAGAGTGGAATAATTAAACCACTACGTTGCAGAATGCAGCAAGTAAAGTCACACCTTACACAAATATAATTTAATACTAAGATAATTACACAACAGACACAATGAAACATTCCGGTACTACCGATAATGTTAATTCACAGAACTAAAATGATTAACTTTGAACTTTCAGTGGAAAAATTTCATTAGTTTTACTCGTGAACAATGTTTAGTCTAAACAACCAAAGTAGGGTAGTCACGAAAGCTACCACATTTGAAAGCACTTTCGCCTATTATAATGTTGGTGATCACTGATAATTTAAGTGTGACCCTTGATTTGCAATTTATCGCGTGAATGATATTAACCTGAACACAAAGACATTATAGTGAAAGCTGGATAAGAACACTTAAATGATATTTATAAGATAATAAGATCCACTGTCGAGTTGGTGACGAATCGTTGTACAGGACAGAAGGCTATAGGTTTGTATTATTCTATTTTTAGCAACCTCCCATAACTATCTAGTCATCTCTTCAAAAAATCAAGCTAAGATGTAGATACCCTTTAAGTGGAAGGGTTTTAGGAATTGATTACTCATTTAGGAAAGTTGTACTTCAAGGGGACTCAGGTCATTCTTGGCTTTACAAACCACAGTGAGCCTTTGGAAAGGGTTTGGAAGACAGTAACTAAGCTGATTCCCGGAATAGTGAAGCTTCCGTATGATGCCCAACTGGCTAAACCAAACCTACTCCCGCTGACATATCAAAGAACTAGCGGTAACTTGATTACAGATTACAATTACTTAGTGATGAATTTGCATCTGATATGCCCTTCTTATTATCTTCCAAAACAAAATTCGCGAGGACACTCCAAAAAAGCTCACAAGCCCAGAACAAATTACTTGTCAACTGACTACCGACCTTCCCATCGAATCATCAACGAGTGAAATCCAGTACCCTAACACGTGATTGAAGCTCCATCTGTCGGATCTACAAAAGGACCAACTGAGAGACCATCACTGCCAGGACTAACACAGGCCAAAGAGCCTCCGTTCTTTTCCAAACTGAAACTGGAGCCTATTTTGTAATTTCAGTTATTCCAACCCGAATAAACTACAATCCAAAGTGATATGGGCGAGAATCTAATTTATGGACTACTTTTGAACGAATCTTAAGTGACCTTGAGAAATATTAGGCAATCAACAAACAGTCAGCATAGAGTAAAAATATGTTATACAAAACCAAAGAAATAAAGTGGATACACTTATTATACGTGGTTCAAAAACTTGTCAAGGTTAGAAAGAGGTTCTAGAATCGTAATGCATGCAGTAGAGGAAATCATCCATATGACTACAGAAGAGTCGGCCTCTGGAGCCATGATAAAGTCTCAAAAACTCTTTCAGCCTCGACCACACAGCTTCAAAATTGTGTGCACTACGGTTGTTGAGTGTACAAAATGCTACTTGGGGATAACGACACGATGTACATAACCAAGCCTATGTAGGAGTCTGTATTCTCTCCAAACATCTGTATATATTGTAGTACCTGGCTGCAGCCAGTGTTACTGGTGCTTTTATTATCTAGTTCGTAATGTGCCTTAAGAATTATATATGGGGTTTTCATCACGAACTGACATCAGCTATTATGCTAGAAATTTATTGAGACAAATGGATGAAAGGCTTTCGCGTTAAAATCCTAGATCTATTATCCTATACCTGATTGATTCGTCCACAAATTATAGTCTCGCCGTTTTATTTGTTATAGCTTACTATGAACTCTAGTCGGTTGTGAGTAAAAAACACGACAGACGTTCTAACGACTGTCAGATGGTGTCAATCGATTGTCAAAAGGTCATGAAAACAAGTTTAGTTGAATTAATAATAACCAACGATCGAATGAAAAAATTGTTAAATCTATGACTTACATGTATCCATCTGCCACTGATCAGTTCCTATTGCCTTGAAAGATGGGTCGGGATGAAAAGAATGGACAGGAATGTGTTGACTTTTGTAAGCAGGGATTTAGAAATGTGGTATGGTCTATTAGATCGAAGTAAATACAAACACTACGTTTACTAACAAATCAATAGATACAATACGAAAACGTGTGAATATAAGTAGTTTAATACAGTCTAAGATACAGAAAAAGGCATAACGACAAGCGAAGCCGAAGACAAAGTTAGTTACTGAGTTCGTACTTATGCGGGCAAGGTTTAAACGTTAGGTCCTTTTGAAATGTGCCCGCTCTTTCGTTTCAACGACCTTGAACGGCTTGACTAGAGGCGGTCATTCCGTATTTCAATTGCCGTGGGTTGGTTGAATTGCATGAGTACCAAGTTTTTTCATATATAAGTCATGTTATGCTACATAAAAAAGCACGAAATAAATACCAAAACCATTAATTTAGCGTTCTCTGTTTTGTAGTGTACACGTTGGCTCTGTTGTTGCTTTGTAATTTGATCTTTGATCCCAACAACTGTAGTAAAGCTCAACGAAATGTCAAGTCACAGGTAAATCCTAAGTATTTGTAGTATTTTCTTGGGTTATTATTGTCGCAAGGAATAACCTTTTAATAATTAGTCATTTCTGTTTTTAGTGCTTCATGCTCAAGTGACATTTCAGTCGACCTAACCGATGCCTTTCGAAGTATGATACTGAACAAGCGTTTCGTGTTGTGGGATGATTTTGAAAGCGCCTTAAAAGAGTTCCAAAAAGTATGGAATTATAATTTTATCGCTTCTCAGACTACTTATACTCGTTACATCCACACAGAAAGCAGATTGCTGAAGGATGTCAGGTTCAAATACCTGTTTGTATCATTTAATTGTACGTTTGGTCATAAGAGGAAATCGGAAGGTTTGAAAGTGAGGCAAAAATCGTAAGATCTTTAACTAATATCTTATGTTTAAGGTCTAAATTCCGTAATTGTCGATCTAAATTTCGTGTAAGACTAGAGGAGCAAGGATATGTCATCAAATCCTACAACATGCTCCACAATCATCCATGTAGTAGTTCATGGATGGTATGTGATCCATTGACAAGGAGATTATCGTCAGAAGAAAAAGAGAACTTGAAGCCCGTAATACTTCACTGTGAGTCAGCAGATGAAGTTATCGAAAGCATTAAGGAGAGAACTGGTAAGCAAGCAACTGCTGCCGATGTCAAAGGTATGAAAGCTACACTCTCCACTGGTAAGTGTATATAAATATATTTCAGGTTGTTTTACTCGGAACCAGGTAATGGATATGCTTAGACAGAAAGGCGGAGTGAAGGAACATTTAGAAAATGGATATGCCACTAGAATATGATGTGTCAATATCCCTGCCGTCACATGCTACTTGCCTACGTTAAAAGACGAAATCTTACAGGTAAGCTATATCAATTATGAAATACTAACTGCATAGCTCATCAACTTCTTAGGTATTGTAGCAGATGGAAGTTACATAATACCCAGAACTTCCAAAATAATGCATTAACTGCATTACCACGACGGAGTGAAGTGTATATAAGTATTCAACGAAGCCAAAGAATCCATAAGCATCGCATCATTGAGAAATATGGTGAACGTTTCGCAACGGAAGTTGAGAACAAAGTGGACAATTATTACTTAAGAATTCTTAATACCAACTTGTAAACTTGATTTTCTGCTTTAGCAGCAATGATTATTCAATAAACTGTCATAATTTTAATTTTCATCTTATTCCTACTTTCGTGGGAATAAATAGCAATGACGTTCATGTGTAACTGTTTGTAATAATTAAGAATGATTCAGAAACCCTACATCCACGTACAATTTTGCAGATTAGGCACCCACATATCATATTCACCTTCGTCGGATTACGTTTATAATTAAAATCGTATCAGTAGCTAAGATTTTAATTCCATGTGATTAGTTCCGCTTATGAATTAAAATGAAACCAGGATAAATGTTGATTAACAGTGGTATGCATTCGTTATAACTAAATATGCATTAGGATTTAACAGTGATGTGGGAAACAGTTGACATACCTTAATATGAATAATTGAAATGACGTGGGTTATCAATAATGACTATATATATATATATATATATATATATATATATATATATATATATATATATATATATATATATATATATGCAGTTTAAGGTCAAAGGTCATTTGTTTTTACAGTCAATAACACATTAAGAATGGGTGGTGTAATAGTGGACTGGAGTTCACAGACAGATAACTGGTGTGAAAATCTTATGGCCTATAAGTGATCCGTGGATTTAAGAACTGAAAACTTGGGACACGTAATAACTTATTACAATTTGAAGAGGTCACATAATTACAGAGGATTAAGTGAGCAGATGTAAGTGACAGGGTGCTGGAATAAATCGGCAACTAAATTTTAAAAGTGAAATGAATTAATACATAATCCATCTTATTACTTGTTCACTCCATGGATTATAAGGAGTTCATATTATTCTATATCTATATTTGTTCTAGCGTCATATCGACTATTAATAAAGACGGACACGGTTTATAAAGTAAGACAATAAGTGTAGTTGCTATATTTATATTTCACTAATTCATTAGTTCAATAAAAATGTTACTAGGCAATACGAAACACAGTTAACGTGAACATGTAAACCGTTTTTTAACAAATTCTGTAAGTTGTAGACCGGCGTAAACATCATCACAAAGCTTTGACGACTTTATTGGATTCATACAATTCTGAAAAAACAAACAAATCAGTTGTGAAATAAAGAATTATACCTAGTTATAAGTATCACATTCAATAAGTACATCAAATAGCAGGTTACAGAATGTACCTATAAGTCTCTTATTTGCAGACAGCGCTAATCATTAGAGATTTCTATTTCCTTTAATAAAAATTAATAGGTAATCTTTACAACACACAAATCAATGTTATTTAAAAATTGCTGAAATCAGTTTCGTCACAACAAAGAAGCGTGGTCTGAATTATGAAGAAAATGTTATTCATTAATGTGGCATAAACGAGATATGAATACAAGGAACTTGTGATTCTGCTTCCATTGCTCATTCACTTTTCGTCCCGTTGTCTGCATGAATTACTTCGGACGAGTCAGTCTGTAACACAGTAGGAATTCATGAATTAACTCATTAATAGTTGTTTTTTATTCAAGTCTGTGTCGTAACAAGCACTGGGAATTTATTCAGTGTCTAACCCTTGTATTATTTCGTACATACATCTGGTATTAGCAAGAAAAATTGGTAGGTACCATTTAGATATTACTCGACAATATGCATCATAAGTTTGTTCACATTTTCGTCTGAGACTGTGCATTTCGTTTACAGAAAATTATTCGTCAACCCTATAACAGACACATCATGAATCAATATTAAGTACGACATGGTTTTGTCACCATGCTCAGAAGAGACAGCCATCGTTTCACTTATGAAGATTTTGTGCCTATTTAATGTGGTGTTATACACTGTTCCTGTATACGTTCAGAAAGCCGGTAAAAAAGACTATCAACATCAATTCTTACTCACATAATTTTTCTCTGATACGTTACACAATAATATGTCACTTCAATACCAAACAAAGCTACCTTTAGTGCAAATAACCTTTTATGGCTAAATACAAACAATTTATATAATATCCATAGTTAGTTTAATGCTTACTTCTTTCTGATAACATCTTATAAACGACTGCGAACATCTATGTTTGCTGTCACCATAATCAAGGAGGTGAACCATATATAATGCTTTTCACTGCTTATTTTCATGAAAAGTCAATCTGTTTTCTATTTTTGACTAGAAAAATGGTGATTTGACTTGTTTGACCTTGTATTATTAAAAAATAACCATATTACGCCAACTGCATGTTTACTTAGGTGGTGAGCACAAAATACGTCAAACTGCTTATAAATTGAAATAAATACTATCTTCCAATCACAAAGATTACGAGAAGTCACGTATGATGGAAAAAAGGCTGTTAATAGCTGATAAATAACGACACATAAAATCCACGACAATATGTTACATGTGCGCGAAAACCCGTAAACTAACACGCATAGTGTGCCACTTATGCGTAAGAGTATTTTTTAAAATTAGTGCCAAAGGTTAATGGGTTCAAATGGTTGTGGACGGAATAGAAGAAGCCTTCGTTTAACAGACTTCCGCGTCTAGTAACAAGGGATCACCAGACCTCCAGGCAGGAACCTAGGTATGTTAACAATAAAAGAGGAAAAAGAAATTGGTATAGTATGATACTATCTTTAATCCTTAAGAATAGACCATGTTGCCTTTAAAGGACTCCTGGAAAGTCGCTTGGACTAGCTTGGCCGGCAGCGAATTCCAGCATTTGACAACTCTTAAGGAGTAGTTGTGTCTACAGTTTCTGGGTGTTACCCCTTAGGTTAGTGTTGGAACTAAGCTTAAGTAGGTGTTTAAGAGGATGTCCAGAAGTGTTAAGAATACTATAAGCCATCAGCAGGTCACCTTTAAGACGCCTGTACTCTAGTGGGTAAAGGTCAAGTGAATGAAGGCGCTCTTCGTAAAGTTTAAATTTGAGTCCTCGAACTGATTTCGTGGCTCGCCGTTGGATACGCTCCAGGGTGTCCATATCCTTTTGGAGTGAGGGAGGAGATACTATGTTTCCGTACTCTAAATGGGGACGGATAAAACTATTGAAGATTATATGGAAATTTCTTCCGTCAAACTGGCCAAAAATGCGCTTCAATGTTACCAGTGCAAGGTTTGCTCGGATGGCATTTTTGTCACAGTTGGCGTAAGACTTTAAATCATGGGGCACCAGGACTACGGAATCATTTTCGACTTGGGATACTACTAGAGAGGAGTTTCCTAAGTTGTAACTGTAGTTTGCGACATGTCGCAGATGGACTACTTTACACTTTAAAGTGTTAAAGATAAGTCCGTTATCGTCTGCCCAACTTTGAAGTCGCGTCAGATCCTCCTGAAGTGCCTGTATATGGTCTTGATTGTGTATCTCTCTCAAAAGTTTAACATCATCAGCAAAGAGTAATAATTCTGACGTTACCTGTTGAAGAAAATCATCTGTGTAGATCAAAAATAGGAGAGGTCCTAGTACTGAGCCGTGGGGGCCCCAATAGGACATCCCATGGCCTGAGATAAAGTGAAGTTAACCCTGACCTTAAATTATCAATTTTTCAGATATCAAGCGAGCCAATCGATTAGAGGTGATCTGATACCCAATCGTTTGAGCTTATTGATAAGTCATATATGGTTAACCCTATCAAAAGCTTTCGAGAAATCTAAGTAGATGATGTCAATCTTTCCCTTTTGATCGGGGATGCTTGTCCATCCATCCACCGCAGTCAGCAGGTTGGTTATACAAGAGTAACCCTTCCTGGAACCATGCTGTTGGAGTGAGAAGAAATTTATGGACAGTAAATAGTCATTTATACCATCGCATATCAGGGACTCCATGATTTTTGAAGGTATGGAGAGAAGAGCCACCGGTCGGTAACTTGAAGGTTCGCTGCGTCGACCTCCTTTGAAAATTGGTGTGATGTGAGCCAGCTTCCAATTTTCCGGTAGTTTGCTTCGGCTTAGCGAGTGTGAAGACATCGCGCTAAGCGGCGTTGTCAGGATTGAGGCTTCTTCCCTCAGTATGGCAGAACGGACCATATCTGGGCCAGGAGAAGTGTCTATTCTTAAGTGCTGCAGTTTCTGGGACACGAAGTCAGAGCTCAGGTTCATTTAGGAAAGACCTTCGGAGTTGCAGATGAAGCTTTCATCAGTATAGTTGATGTGGGTTGGTTGAAATGTCCGAGAGTATTGTTCGGTCAAAAGTTTAGTGGCGTCGCCATCGTCGTTGGTCGGGCCATTAAGACCTAGCAGTTGGGAAACTCCAGTTTCGGCTTGACGAAAAGAGGCTGTATAACGGAATAAGCTTTTCGGATTAGAGGCAAATTTGTCCATAAGCTTTGTCTGGTACTGAAGCCTATCTTCTCTTATAGCCTTCGTGCATATGTTCCTTATATGTTTGTATTGCCTGTACGCTCCGTTGTTGTCAGTTCGTTTGTACTCTGCCCATCAGTGCCTTTTGCGGCTTAGCAGGCGAAGAGTGCGGTTCCTGATGATTGTGGTTTGCTTGTAGCTATGGGGGACAGTGAAAACCAATAATATTTATCTATTATTACCATATAGCACTTGCGATGAGTTAAAGATTACAAAACATTTTGCATAATGGGCCAGCTTCTCAGCTCTTAAGCAAAGAGTATGAACGACTGATAAGTGCTTTGCTGGTCTTATTAAGAATTTGCAATCCAATCGTCTCTACAAATTAAGTGATTTTAGATGGTTATGAATGAAATTGAAAGGAATTTTAGTCGACAGTCTGTCACACCAAGTAGCCATTGATTACGTATTTCAGTGTTCGTATTCTTCTAAAGTGATTAGGTAAATATTTATATCACTCCCTAAAACGAGCAGCTTTGTATATACTAGGCACCGTTTCTAAACTTACTCGACTTAATGAGTATCACCATATGGTACTATTTGATCATATGAAACCTGCAGTTTAAGTTGCGATAAGTATCATGGAATTTAAGCAAGCTACTGTGTGAACGAAGCGTAAACCAACAGTTTTATGGCGGTAGGTTCAGTTTACGTGCATTGCGACTATTACTGATCTCGTGAAATACTTTTCAAAGCCCTGAGAATGAAAGTCTACCTTACATTTGCGCACC